TTGTTGTTGTTGTTGTTGCTGTGGCTCTTCTTCTTCTTCTTCTTCTTGTTCTTCTTGCTTTTGCTCTCGTGCTTGTTCGCTCTCCCCTCCCCCCTCCGCTCTCCCTCCCTCACTCTATTCCCTTCCTCCCTCCCCGCCTGTGCCTTCCTGGGCCCTAAGACCCTTAAGCCTTGACTCGTGACTAGCCCTTCAGGAGTACTCGGGCCAAATTAAGTTGGAAAACTCAAGGGAGTACTTAAGACCCCCCACCAAAGGAACCCTTATAGGGAACCTCATCAGACCCTATAGTACTCTTACAGGGAACCCTGTTATAGAACACTGCAAAACCCTCAGGGGCAATCCCAGTATTGAACAATCTTACAGGGCCCTTCTAAACCCTAAACCCTAAACCCTAAACCCTAAACCCTAGGAACCCGTGCAGTCCAGAAACTTTGTAAGTGGAACACGCACGCTTTGTTGAGCGAGGCCCCTGCACTCGCAAATCCGTTTGGAGCAGCAGAGGGAGGCTCAGCCCCGATGCCCAGGGGACTCCACAACCAGTTAATTTACATATACATATACATATATATATATATATATATAATATATATATATATATATATAATATATATATATATATATTATATCTTTTAATTGTTTATTAAATCTTACCTGGGTTCCTATCATGGTTTAAGGTGTATTCCTTGATTGAAGTCTGGGAGTCTCTGGGTTTAAGTGTAAGGCTATTGTCTCCACGGCCTCGGGTTTAGGAGTTCCGGGTCTGGGGTTTGGGGGTTTACCGTTCAGAAGTGTTGAATATAGGGTTGTAGGTTTATGTGAGGATCTTGTTTGGCTGATGGGTTGCCGCTGATGGTGCAAGGTCCTTTGGGTTTGGAGTTTAGGGTTTGGGGTGCAGGGCTTAGGGTTGAAAGGTTAGGGCTTAGTCTACCGAGGCACGAGTTGGGCCTTCAACCTTTTAGTAGCTGAGGTGGCAACAATGATTATGTGTATATAACAGTATATGCATATATATATACACACCCACATATTCCTGGTTCAAACCCTAAAACCGAAACTTAAAGCATTGAGGCAAGCCTAGATACTCCTAGAATCAAGGCTGGATGTTGCTGTTTGTTTTTTTGCAGGGGGTCCTTACAACAAAGCAACCGTATCATTCAGCCTTAGACCCTAAACCCTGTAGAGCTTATGTTTGGAGGGTGGATTGAGAACGTCTCAAGGTTTTTAGCTTTGTGGCCCGGCGCAGTGGAGGCGAGCTCGTCGCAGCTTCCCAGAGACTCCAAAACCGTTTAATCCAGGGATTTAAACGGTTGTTTAACGGTTTCACCAGGTTATGTAGGGCCGTTAATCGAGGAATATGCCTTAAACCTTTGTATCCTTGTATTAAGGTTCCTATTGAAATTTAATATATATATATATATATTCATTTATTTATTTATTTATTTATGTATTTATTTAAGTTAACTTGTTTTGGAGTCTTTGGGTTGGGCAGTCACACTCGGAGACAAAGGCTCTCCTCGACACAGCAGGGCAATACTGCTCAAGAGCCGTTCGCACAACTGTGTGACACTCATAGCATTTAAGGTTTGCGGTTTGGGATTTAGGGTTTAGGGTTTAAGGGTTTAGGGTTTAGGGTTTAGGGCCCCAGCCCGTGACTCAAAAAGGGTTTAAGGGTAGGCTTTTGGGCTCTTACAGTTTAATGTAGGAACCTCGGCCGGGCGACCATGCATCCATCTCTCAAGTGCAGCTCAGAACTCGAAACCGCGGTGGAGTGCATGTCTGAAGCGGTTCTGATGGGAGCTTTAGGCAACAGCAAGGTTCTTGTACGCAAGATGCATGCATAGGCTATGGTACGGGCATTGCACACTCCCCACATCTACGCATACTTATGTACTCAGCCTGGTCCTAAATCTTAAACCTTACAAACCGTCTAAGTTTGTTTAAAGACTCGACAAGAACCTCCATCGAGTTCTGACGTTGAAACCCTCATGAAACCTTGATAAGTATCTGCATTTGAAGGACATGGGTGCTATGTCAGACTGAAAGAGGGGGTTTTCTATGGACACAGCAGCTCGTGCAAGGGCTCAGAGGCATCTAACCGTGCTTCAGATGGTTTCTGTACCAGTCGCGTACTAAGAAAAAGTAACGTAGCAAGATCAGCCCTAGATCCTCCAGGGTGATTTGCATTCTTGATTTTGGGTGAACGGCTCAATCAAACAACTGTTTATTAAAATAAGAAATGAACCGGATAATGACATAATACTTCATGAATCAGCCAATCAATCAAGGATTCGACTACTTGATAACTTCATTTTCGAGTTGGCTACTGAGTAAACAAGTCTGGAAAATAGTAATGGCAACAATCATGACCGAATTTGCTCTTGTACAAACCACCAGCAACCGCTCTTGTGAGAAGGGACACGAAGTGTTCCTAAACTAAAACGGAATGACCACAATCCTATCAGAGACCAGAGAGTGAGGTTGAGGTCAAGTGTTCCTGAACCAGAACCCGCCCCGAAAGTCGGAGCAACGTGCCGCAATGATAACTGTCCCGAAACACCCGGGTCTCCTCGAAGCCCCGATCGCTGTAGGGTATTTGGCATTATCGCCTGCCAACAACCGTAAGGCCCATGTGCATCATAGAACCGGCACGAAGAACGTCCCAAAGATTTTTTCCTTGAGGCCTGAAAACTTGTTGGGCCTGACATTGTAGGTCTTCCTGAAGCCTCCACCAGGAGTGGGGCTCTGAGCTTGCACATGCAACCAAGGGCCGTTTCAGGTGTTCAGAAGGGTTCTACAGGGTTTCGGGGTTCCCTGTTAAAGTGGGTCGGCCTATGTGTATGTATAAGCTATACACGCTTTTTTTGGGTTTGCGACCTGTTTGTTCGAGCTTTTGTGCTAGGCTGCAGCAGTCAAGGATACAGGAGTTGGCCGGGTGTGTAGGGTTTAGGGTTCAGGGGTATTTAGGGTTAAGGGGTTTAGGGTTAAGGGGTTTAGGGTTTAGGGGTTAAGGGATTTAGGGTTCAGGGGTTTAGGTTTCAGGGGTTTAGGGTTAAGGTCTGGGGTTTAGGGTTTACGTGTTTAGGGGTTTAGGGTTCTACGGACAGGGCATCATGCTATATACGGAGGCCAAGGATGCTCGGGCTTAGGGTTTACCAGTATGTGTTTTGCTCGCTCGTTGCCCCAAACCCCACACCCGACAAAACCCTAAACTCAAAACCCAAAACCCTAAACCCTAAGGCATAAGCCCTAAACCGTCGAAGTGACACATCTGCCCTGCGGCTGCAAGCCTCTGAACTTTTGACAAACTCCGCGATGCGCTGCCTCATTAGATCCTCCACCGCCCTCAAGGGACTCATATTTTAAGGCCTTTGGGCCCAAAGACCCTATTATATGAGGCTTTTTGGGCTATTTTGATGATAAAGGATATGGAAGCTCCAAGGTTAAGTTTCTGCATTTTCTGAGTACCATCGCCTCAGGCCCCTAAACCTTAACCTTGACCCGAAACCCCAAAGCCCTAAACTGCATACCCGAAACCCTAAAAGCCCCAAGCCTTAAAGACTCAACCGCAGACATTCCGATACGATCTCGGAGCCGTGAGCTGCCCCTTGAGAAGTCAGGTGCGAAAGATCGTGCTGAGTACCAACATTGCGTCTTGGACGTCCAAGGGCTTCAAGCTGTGTTTGCTGGTACTCTAACCATTCAGTGATCCATGCATGCATTCATTATTGTTCTGGTTGTGATGTTTTGTGCACTATGTATGCAGTGATTTGTTTTTCTTCTTCGTTATTTTATTTTGAGTAGTAGTGTCATCACCGGCATCATCATGATTGTCATTGTCTTTGCTGCTGTTTGCAGCAGCAGCAAGAGTAGTAGTGATACTAGAACTAGTCGTACTGGTACTAGTGACCAGTACTAGCACTACAGCTAGCATGGGTACCAGTAGGAGCAGTAGTACTACTTGGTTGCTGCTGCTACTGTTGTAGTTGTTGTACTTGTAGTCGTAGTTGTGGCTGTAGTAGTTACATTTGTAGTGGCAGTGGCTGTAGTTGTAACAGTACAATCAGTCTTGGTGTTGGCAGCCCTGGCCACGGTGTGCCATGAACATCCTATACCCTAAACTCCCACATCCCTCATAAGTCTCGAGGCAGAAACCTCAGTCACCATCAACGACATTGAGGTGGTTATTGACTGCGGCCGCGCCAAGGTTCCCTCAGTGTTTGAATGTATGTATTTGGGCAGTTTCCTAAGTTAGGGCCCTTTTAGGGTCCTTTTTATAAGGGTGCCGTACTATAATGGCGACCTAAAAAGGGATCCTAATTTAGAAAACTACCCATGTTTTCAGTCTCCAGCTTCTTCCTAGACCTGGACACATGTGTTTCTACTCTTACACAAGTCACGGGATTTTTGCATGTTCCGATCAAGAACTGTGATTTGTTTAGTTCATGTTAGCACTACTACTACTACTACTACTACTACTACTACTACTACTATTACTCCTACTGCTACTGCTACTGCTACTGCTACTCCTACGACTGCTACTACTACTACTACTACTACTACTACTACTACTGCTACTGCTACTGCTACTACTACTACTCCTACGACTGCTACTACTACTACTACTACTACTACTGCTATTACTACTACTACTACTACTACTACTACTACTACTAGTACTACTCCTGCTGCTGCTACTACTACTACTACTACGACGACGACGACGACTACGACTAGTTTGTATATTCCCGCTGCAGCTGCTACTGCTGCCTCTCAGGGCTTGTGAAATATGAGAAGAACACGATCTCGGCCCCATGCCGAACTTCAAGTTCTAGACACCCGTGGCCTCAACACTCAAAACTCTCAACCTCCAGTGAATACAAGGTCCTGGAACCTAAACTACGATGTCAGACCCGAAACCCTAAGCCCTAAACCCTAAACCTTAACCGTAGAGTCCAGCAGCCTCCATGTGCAAGAGGAGGCCAGCTACAAAACCCTGAATCTAAATCCCCGGCCCAAACCTTTAGCTTAACCTGTAAACCCCGAACCAATAAACACTAAACTTTAGTGTTTATTGGTTTTGGGTTTACGGGTTAAGCTAAGGGTTTGGGGCCGGAGATTTAGATGTCACTAAAACCCTACACCACCAACACATAAACCCTGAACCCTATAAACCCTTAACCCTAAACCCTACAAACCTGGCAGCCTGAGCCAGAAACCAGGAAACCAGCTACGATGCTTTCCTCCGCGTGCATGGGTCCCAGCCAACATCTGTCAGGTCAGTTTCGGGCTTTAGGGTATAGGGATTTCGGTGAAAAACTTGTTCGGGTTTACGTTTGCTTTCTTTTGTGTTTTAGGGGCTTTAGGGTTAGAATTTGGGGCTCAGCGCTTAAAGTCTGGCGTGTTGGGTTTGGGGAGCTGGCGTCAGGGTTTGGGTGGTTTAGGACTGGGCCCAGAGCTCCCAGCTTCAACTGAGTTCTACAGGGTTCCTTTAAGGACTCCTGAGAAAGCTTGAATACGGGTTGTTACACGGGTAGCTGTATTGTTAGGGTTTAGGGTTTAGGGTTATATGAGTTGAGTGTAGAAGCCTCAATTCTATGCCTTCGAGTTCCCGATTGCATCTCTCAGGGTCCATGTACACAGAAAGTATAGACTTGGGCATTAAAGTAGTCCCCATGTAGGTACTTTGGGGCTAAAGCATATGAGTAGTTTTCTAAAATAGGGTCCCTTTTGGGGTCGTTTTTATAAGGGTGCCATACTATATTGGGGACCTAGAAAGGGACCCTAATTTAGAGAACTACACATATACTATGGGAGTAGATGGACCCTTCGGGTAACCCTAAACCCTAAACCCTAATTTAGAGAACGGTCCAGGCCGACGCTGAACACCTCCTGGGTCTCCCACGCGTCCCTGAAACAGCGCGCCGGCCGAGCTGGCCGGACGTCGCCGGGGCCGCCTGGGTCCGTTCGTGTCAGCTTTGGATTTAGGAGTTTAGGGTTTTAGGGTTTTAGGTTTTTAAAGTTTAGGGGTTTTAGGGTTTAGGCGTTTCGGGTTTAGGCTTTAGGGGTTTCGGGTTTTAGGGTTTAGGGATTCTGTATTAGCTTGTCTATTATCCCTTGTATTACCCCTAGACCCTTGTAATATTCCGCATGGTAGCCCTTATAGCAGTCTCCCTAAACCCTAAAGCATAATCCCAGCCCGGGTCTGTTCTTCTATAGTGGGTTCCCAGAAAGTCGGAACATGTTTAGGGTTTAGGGTTTAGGGTTTAGGGAAAGTCGGAACATGGATTTAGGATCATTAGTGCTAGGATCCCTTATATTTTACCTTACTTGTACCAGGATCAAAAGCCTTATAAACCCTGAACCCTAAGCCCCGAACCAAAACCTAAACCCTAAACCCAAGTAGTAGATCATGGTGTTCCAACTTCCTGGCTTTTCCTTTCATCAGGTAAGGGCCTGTAGAATTCGCAATATGGTTTCCCTCAGCGCTCCTTATTGCTGTTGATGATATAAATCATGCATTACCTGAAGGACCCTACACTATGGGAATTGTGGTACCTTCCTTATTATGGGTAATGCAGGGTTTATATCATCAACCGTATAGTGGTATGCAATACCCCAACCCCTGCTGCAACGATAGTCCCCAGCGGGTCCGTGTACACAAATAGGAGATACATTGCCCCTAAGTACCTGTAAGGGGACTATTTCAAGGCCAAAGTATATACTATTTGGGTACATGGACCTCCTCCATAATCGCCCTAAGCCCTAAGCCCTAAGCCCTAAACCTTTTTGGTTCAGGCCCCCTATAGTCGCCCAACGACTCTGGCCAACTAGAAGCCTATCTCTGAGCTCCGATCTTGTCAGACTCCGGCATTGAAGACAACTACGCACTCGGCTTTTGGGGTTTTGGGTTTTGGGGTTTTGGGGTTTAGGGTTTTGGAGTTTAGGGTTTTGGGGTGTAGTAGGTGGCATGAGCTCCGGCAATAAACAGGGCTTGTATGGCTTACGGCTCATTTAATCCATTGGGCGTTCAGGGATAAGGGCGGTTGACAATGAAGATCCTGAACCCAGCATCCAACCGGAAGCACTCTCACATAAACCCCCTACCCTCAATCCTGAGCCCCAAGCACTAACTATTGAGGACTGTCCTTCCAATGCTCCTATACTCCTAAGAAGTTCTTGGGGGTTTAGTGCTTGGGATTTAAGTTTTAGGGTTTCAGGTTT